GTGTTAAACAGGAATTGGCACAGTCGTTCTGTACAGGAGCACTTTATATGTCCCTTGAAGTCTTCCCCTGCTTAGCTTCCTGATGAGGAAGTCGTCCTGCCAGTGGGTATCCCAGGTACTCGGATGGTCAGAGGGAAGCTCAAATAGTAAAATACAATACTACCCAAGTTCAACAGCAGCTGCCACTCCTGAAAGAGGTTTTTAAGCACAACATTCCCTGGATCCATTTGCCTTAGTTCCTGGAAGGCAGCAAATGCAATCAAACTTCTTCAGGAGCAGAACATGGAAGTCCTGGTACAGAAGCAGAGGCTTGTCCGTTCCCTGCCGCACAGCCCAGGTCAGGAGAGTGCATCCAAAATGTCTCACTCCTGTAGTTCTACATGTGAGAGACAAAAGAGGGTGAGCAACCCAGTTTCTCTATTCGAGCTCCCCCTCTGTGGTCTGTTTCTGACTGAAGGTGGCCCAGTCCGATGGCTCCCACTGGACATTCCTTAGACCCAGCTCACTGTGATGACCCACAGGATGACTGCTGTCACAAATCTGAATCACCACAATACCTTAAGTTCAAAGCAGGAACATCTCTCACTCAAGGCAAGTTTCCAGCCTTATTTCCTGCGGTCTGAAAGGAAATGAGCAAGTGTTTGGGATTTGCAGCTATTTGTAAAGACATGAGTGGGACCACAGCAAAAGGTTGGTTCAGATTGGTTCAGATAAACCTGCCCCTCACCCAGCTACAAAAGCTGCAGCAGCAGCCACACGTACTGCAGTAATTGGCAGGAACAGCGTTGTACCTGGACTCAGCTTAATGACGATGTGAGCGCATTCCTGGGGGCCTTGGTGTCACTCTCCAAACTGCACATGAAGAGTTCCTGGAACCATCACAACAGGCAGCATGCAGTCACTGTGCCATTGCCATGGAAGACGTCTTCCACCTGACCTGATGGAAAGACCTTTGTGACTTGCAGCAGAGCATCTTCTCTGTTCCTGCCTAGCAAAAGACATGACAAGTCCTGTGTGTGTGACCTGATGGTGACTCCTTCAGCTTTGGCAGGGAATGATTCTGTGATTCTAAGGCGCTGTTCAACTTTGAACATCACCAACTGCACAGCTAGATCCAAGGTCAGCAGAGCTGACATCACAGGTGACATGGAAGATCAACACAGGCAAGTCCTGTGTTACCTGGGCACAGAGGTTATCCAAGCTGATTTTTAACACATGCTGGCAGCAGTGTAGCTCAGCAGCACATCAGCTGAGGCCAGAAGTGTGACCAAATAACCTCAGGTACAGCGAGCGTCCTTCCATGACAAGGCTGTGATTTCAACAGCCACAAGAGCTTAGATGTGTGTTCACAACGCCGTGAGGCAGGTGTGCTCCAGAACAAGAAATACATGTTTTGCTCCATAAGTTTGGGCATTTAAATCTCCTCTCACTGCCCTGGAAGCAGAGGTCGATGTGTGTTGACCCTGATGTGCCAAAGCTGATGCAAGACATGGAAGGTGATGGTGGCTGAGTTGCTTTGATGTTTGGTCCAATTGCCATAAAGCAGGTGGGCTGTCACTGCATGCTCCAGAAACTTGATGCGTGATACTCTGGTTTCTTACCTTGGCATGCCGTAGCTGCACCAGCAGCAGCTGTCTGGGCAGCAAGGCACATACATAGCTTGGGACCCTACCCTGAGGAAAGCTGGGACATTTTGTGAAAACTCAAATACCATTTGCTGTGCTATGTATTGAGGTACCTCTGCATCATCCATCTCAGTACTGCCCCAAGACCAGAAATGGAGTGGGCTTAGGCTCGTGGCAGAGGTCCGAACCATCACTCTCGGGAGATTTACATGCTGTCTCCAGAGCACATGTGGGGTGCCCTGCATGGACACAGCTCCCCGCTGCCCACAGATAAGCTTTTCTCCACTTTTCCTGTGAAATAAGGAGGGATTGTCCCTGCCCAGGTAATTCATGTGATCCCTCTGTGGCTGCTTCCATCCCCGAGTGCTCCAGGAGAGAAGAGAGCAAGCTGCAGCCTGGATATAAATTATTCTGGAGTCCTCTAAAATGATGATGATTGATTGTTTCCATCGCGCACTACTTGAGCTCAGTCTTACGTACACAGAGTTGTGTCAGGAGCTTCACCTTCTGATTTTCTCTTCCTGCTCATCCAGGGTTTTTTTGCCAGGCCATTGATTCATGACCCCAAGTTCAACGTGTCGGAATGGAGCCCAGATCCAGGAAGGCCGCCATGTGGGAATAACGCAAGGGCTGTCTTGTATAATCTCCTGCAACCTTCAGGCACCAGCCCTGCCAAAGCACTGACGCAGCAGCTGTTACTGAAATCCTCCTAAGCAGGATTATGAAGGGAGCGCTGACCTGCTGCAAAACCAGTAATTAAACCAATGCATTTATTCTGTTGCAGCCGAGGCTGACAGCAGCTTCCTCAGTGCCTGGGCGGTTGTGTGCGCAGCGGAGGCTTTGGGAGCAGCAGAGCTGTGATGGTGGCACTCTGCTGTGGAGCGGCAGGAGCAGTGCTGCAGGAGGTACAGCGTGGAGGTGCAAGCACATTAAATCTAGTAAGACACTTGCCATCACGGTCAGATCTCAAGAGCTCAAGTCTATTTGTTATTTGGTCAGTCTTCACTGTTGCAATCCCATAACAGCTCTGGTAAGGTGTTCCTTGTTTCTCCTGAGGATGGCTGTGGAAGCTGCTCAAAGCAGTTGGCCAAGCTGATACTGGAATGTCATTTGACTCGGCATCTCTGAGCTGTTTTCTTTCCAAAACATCATACCTTTTAACCAAAATGTCTTGTCTTCAACCTCTTTGCTATCAAGAGGGCTTTGTCATTTCACATCTGTGCAAAGGATGTGGCCCTTTTGTGTCTATTTGCTATTTTGGCAGAAGCATGTCTACTTCCAAACAGCTCTCTCTTGTGACAGGTATGGCCTAGAGCAATTTACTCCTGGAATTTTTGATGTGGTTCAGACCACTGAAGGAGTTGAACACGGCAGATGTTGCAGTGGGGATTGTGCACACTAGGCAAAAGAGGAAGAACATCCCTGCCCCATCTCAGTGGGTCATTCACCTCTAGGTATTTTGCACACATAATTCCTCTTGAACATCAAAAGCTGTAAGCGTGAGGTGTTTTAATTCCACTTGAACTGACAGTTTCAGTTCCTTTAAGCCACTTTCTGTGCACCTGACATCTGACAGCTTCCCACAGCAATATGAAGATGTGTTGGCCACCACTTCCAGGAACACCAGGACCTGGTGTTCTTCAAGCTTTGTGTTCAGGGAAGTTTAAACCTGTGGAGATGCCAGGACCAGCCCATTCTCTGAAACTTGCTGAACCAAAATCCACTTTAAAGCATACCTGGCTCATCTGTAACCAGCAAGGGTTACTGCTTCAAGGAAGCCTCATACATGCTGTGCACCCAGGCATGGAGTAGGTGTTTAGCATGGGGACAGAGCCCTTGTCCTGACACAGGCAAGAGCTGCTCCCACAACATAGAAATGGGACGGCTGTGTGGAACTTCCCCAACCTCTCCAACAGGACCAGCAGTCCACCAGCTGTGAGAAGAGTCACTTTGGAAAGGTGGAGGAAGGGAAGAGGTCAGGGCAGGGAACCCAAGGTGCTGGCTGTGCACAGTCCTTGTCCTGCCTGCTGTGAGAGCACAGGGGTGTGGACTTGGGTTGCTCAAGGGTCTGGTGTCTCAGGTACCATCAGCACTAAACAGTTTCTCTCCCACCTTCTCCCTAGAACCACCAGGCTCATTTTCCCCTCCCCATCCCAGGCAATTACCCTTTATTTTACACCAGGCTGTCACAAACCCACCTAAAGGCTTAATGTATTTCAACACAAAGTAGCCACTAAGTGAAGCAATGTAATTTATTTGACATTATACCAGACACGGGTGCTCCAGATCCAGACTTGACCTTAAAACAATTTAAAATCCTGGATATGCTGCATTGGCAGTCAGAGTTACCTGCCCGAGAGCTAAACGTGTCCATGCCAGCTACTGAAACAGAGAATTAAGTACAGGAGAAGTTGAGCTAGTAAAGCACTGTCAGTCCATGACAACTGTGAACTCGCTTCCAGTGCTGGGGTGCTGGAAGAGATGGCAGGGCTGCAAGTGTTTCAGTATAAAGCAGCTCTCAGTTACTCATATTACAGCAGTGTCTAATTACAACAATTAGGGATATGGATTTAAGCAATGTTTTTCTCAATTAATGGGCAGCCCCAGCCGAGGGGCTGGGGAATGCTCCCCCTCCCTCTTAATGAACAAGGCACCACAATACAACATAGCTCCTGATGGCAGCAAGTGTAAAGAAACAAACAACAACCGCCCCACACCACTGTTTGAACATCATAAATTGGGCAGCACTGTCCCAACTGGCAGAACCTGCCCAGACACCTGCAGAACCCACGCAGAGCCACACACACCTGAGCCCTGTAACAACACGCTACAGCCAGTGTTACTCCCAGCTCATGGCTTCAGCTGCGCAGACTCCATCTTTCAAACCACTTTACTCCATTTAACAAATGTTGACAAATGCCAGAAGCAGTGGATAGTATGTACTGGTGGCAAATACATCCATAGTCATCATCCCTACCACGTTTTACTACAGCCGGGAGACAGTGCTGTCACCCCCCGCATGCAAGCGCTGTAGTTTAGATGAAGTCCGTAGTTTTAAATGCAGAAAGATGAGATGAACACGAGCAGTGCTGGAAAATCCAAAGAAAACTTTCTCCTCTGAGCTGTCTCCCCAGAAACAGCTTTTGAAAGGAGACAGAGGTGCTGCATCTGTACATGTAGTTCTTAGGCTATCACGAGGCAGTCAAGTTGAAGTAACGCACATCATTACACACCTTATATTTACATCATCATCTCCACAACTTTTTCATATGCATCACAAAAACAATCACCCCTTACTCTCTCATAACAGACATGGAGGCAGTAGACCCTGTAACCTCAAAACAACTGGAATTATCAGAAACCAAATGAAAGCTCTTTTCAGGGAAACATGCATTTATTGTGAAGCATTCCCAGTGAAAATCAACATCTTTTAAAATGGGTGTTTATTGAAAAAACCATTTGTGTACAAAAGTGTTGGTGTAGCTTTTATTTTCAAGACAAACCCCACTGACGCTGCATTCCAGCCCACCCGCTCCTCCTGTACAGGAAGTCTGTGCCTTGGGACCCAACCTCCTGCCATGGGTTGTATTGGTCTTTATCTCATATTTTCAATTAGAAAAGTCAGAGGTGCGGATGGAAGAGGTAAGTGAAAGCAGGGCGCTTCAGCAGTTGACATCAGCGTTTGTATGATGGCAGCCTCCTTCAGACACAACAGAGCACCAGCAGCTGCCGTAAAACGGACAAGTACAGCATTTTCACAGTACATTTCCTCGTCTGTCGAGTCATTATCTTAACTCACATTACCAAAGGATGGCTCAGCACCGTAAGCGACCAGCTAGCTATTTAGATGCCTACAAAGCAGGAAACAGCAGAGAAGGAACATCACATCACAGTACAGTGCAGTGCAAATGATTTGCAAGAGTCTGCCCAGTGAGAACAAATCTGAAGTCAAGTTGCTACCTACAGAGCAGTGGAGCTGGAACACCCAAGCAAGAAGCAAACTGCAACCAGGACAGCTGGTCTTGTAAGTAAGTCTAATGATGAGTCTGCTGATGACACTAACACCACAAACGGGAAGAGCAAGCTACATGACTTACTGATGGGTTTGGAATAGATCAGGAAACTGTCAAGAAAGAAGCAACTGCCCCTTTGTCTAGCCATATGGGAAAGCTGTGCCTGGAAAATGAGGACAGGAACAGCAAAACCAGCTGTATGGTCTTCCCAGAACAAGCTTTAGGCACCCAAGGAGCATCTTTACTTTTACACTTTAGCTCCTCAATGCAACAGAGTCCATGATGAAACTCGCTTTTGCTACCTGTTGTTGGGCTGATTGCCCATCAAAGCCACAGGAACCCAATCCCAACCCAGCAGCCACGCTCACTGAGGTGCCCCTCATCAACACAACACAGCAGGAGCTGACACCTCATCTTCTCATTGCATCTGCTCATCAGCAGACGTGATGTTAAACTATCTTTCACCGCTAAAGTATTTAACATCTCCCCCTCTGGGCAAGCCTCCAAGGCCAAGCTGGCTTGTGCTGGTCTTCAGGAAGGAAGTGAGGGACATGCACACCACAAGCTTTCCCTGTGCACTGAAAACGGAACACTCCACCTTCACAGCGCAGGACCAATGCAATAAATAAGAACTCCTACTGGAAACTGTGTGTTGATCTCCCCCTCCGACTCCCTTTCCCTATAAAATAAGCAATCCATATGCTCCGGAGTGCCTATTCTGATTCACAGCTGCTAAGCTTCAATTTGCATAGTTTAAATGTTTCTGTTACCCACCGCATAAAACACAGACTTGACAAGGTAGACCTTCTGTCTGGCTATTTAACTCGGCCTTTCAGACAACAAAACAGATCCTCTATTCCTTGTCAGTGTTCCAACACTAATTCACTTGGAAAACAGTTAAGTACAATGATAATTAAAAAAAAAACAAGACATACTCCTACACCATTAGTACCCAATTGCTCAGATAAATAACACCGAACCAATTATAGTCAAGGCCCCATGTACTCTGTGGCAAGATAACAACAAGAAAAAACAAGTTAAAAGCCTGGGATATGCAGAATGAACAGCGCATGTGCCACAGCTTTCAGAAGGATATGTTCCTAAGTTCGTGTCTCCAAAACGTACCCATTTGTCACACTGAGAACACAGCCTGTTCACAGAAGCAACAGGAGGGAGCCGTGAATCGGCAGCTGGGGGTGGGATGCAGTCAGGGCTTTTGGCACTCACGGGAAGATGAGGCTTTTGGCAAGAGGAAAGGGCATTTCTCTGCCTTTGAACAAAGCTGTACTGCACTCTGAGGAACAGGACGAGATAAGAGTTTCTCGTTCCCCACCAACAAAACAAAACGGGGATAAACCAACTTTCCTGGATGCACATTAGAACGCTCATCAGTGAAATACGACTGATGCTCTGGTAATCAGTAACCACCATTGCCAATACCTGGTTTAGAAAAATGGGGCCATTTAGACTTCAAAATTAGTTTCAAGCCATCTTGTTACATGATACAGGAAGACAATGCAGGATTTATTTGTACTTTGAAACCAACTGCACCCATGTGTTATGTTCTTGTTGTAAGAAAGCAGTAAATGTGCAGCCCAAGTCCACAGCTGGAGTGGAATCCATGGCAACTCCACATCTCAGAGAGCACAGGGCACTGAATATAGTTTAGTCATACAGAAAACAGAACTACCATTTTGTATGTACAAACTCATAATGATAAACTGAACATTAACAGCAAAATTCCCAGGGCTCAGCCCCAGCTGCAGTTAAAACTAACCTCAAACAACATCATCCCTATATTCAACTCTGACTGATAGTTACCAGTACAAAAACATTCCTTATAAAGGACCCGCATGTCAAATTCAGAGGGACTTCAGACTGCAGATGTCTCCTTAATGCTGGGTCGTGTTGCCTTCCCCACTCACTTCTGGAGAAGCTTCTCTTCTGCCAGCACCTGAGCTAGCATTAAAGTATCTTTGCTATCAAGTGCAAGGATGGAGGGCAAAACCCAGTAGCCATCATCTATACATAAGGGGGAAAGGAAAGATGAGTGTTTTGCAGTAGAGAATGAGGTAACTTCATGACAGAAGTAAAACCTAACAGCATTATTTCAGAGGTGACCGTGCTCACCTAAGAACCATTTCCTCTTCCCCCCTTCCCCTGGCTTCCTTTATCCCTTTACATACTGTTGGAAAAACCCGCTGTCCTTCAGAGACTAATCTTATCAAAAGACACATTCAGAACTGGTAAGTTTTACGTCCCCAGGAATGACTTTCAAGTTCCTTCTTTTGATAAACAGCAGTGAAGAACAAGGGAAAGTAGTCAGCAATTTACAATTACCACTAGGGTAAAAAAACCCGGTGTTGATGTAATCAAGAAGTTTTTAGCCTGTATAACAGAAAAGACAGCAACTTGAGATTAACACAAGTGGCATTCTGCCACAGTTTCCTACAGTCCCTGGTTTTCATCTACCAAACCAGCTGAACAGTAGCAGTTCTTGTTAAAAAAATAAATAAATATAAGATGAAAACAACTCACTTCCTTTGGCATCATTGCAAATGATTTACACTAACTCAAGAAAACTGATCATTGACTACCTCTTAAAAAGTAATATGTATAAAGACTAAGCAAATGCATTTAGTATTGCACTGATATGAGTTCAAAGTATTTACTGTCTGTGCCCTGAAATATTTTAGGTTTGGACACACTGGACAGAGCAGTACAGGGAACATCCCTGAACTAGCTACGCCTCTACAGCTCTATTTTCTAGTTCTGTTCCCCTACCACTATGCTCTAGATATTTAACAGGTACAATAATGTTCCTATTTCCTCTAGTATGATTTATAAACAGTGTGTCTATGAAGCGTGAAACTATTTCAACTTGTACTTCATAGCTCCAGAAACCCCCCAGACATGTATTTCCCCACCCCATTAATCCACAGTTTAGGAGAAAAAAAAAACAAGTGTGGAAAAGATGACTTATACAGTACTCCATCACGCACAAGCCCCACTCCCTAGTTTCAGGATTTCTCTGAACTTCCTTGTCAGATATATTCTTAAAACTTAGCATCATATTCACAAAGACATTACGGCTCTCTTTAAATAAATGTACTAGTGTTTGAAGTTGCAAAACTAATAATTTTCAAGCTTTTGCACTCAGGATGAAATGTCATTTTAATACGAATAAAAAGACTGACTGTATGTACAAGTCAAGGTAAGACTTCAGTTCTCATTTATCAGAAACATCAATCCAAAAGAAAGCTAAACCAAGAACACACTTCTACTTCTATGTGCATTTGAAGTATGTACAGAAAAACACCAACACAGCCTCCATGTGTCAAGTAGAGAAAAACGCAAGCAATGATGAATTTTAAAGTACCTGGTAAGCAATCCTTAAATCGAAGCCCAAAATAAAGCTAGAAAACTGCTGCACAAAACAGCTGATTGCATCATATCAAGTACTCAAAGAAAATATTCTTTAATTCTTGGTACACTAGAGAACCAGAGTTTTCCTCCTTCAGACCCACTGAAATCGTTTTATCCAGAATGTACTGAAGAACATTTTACATCTATTTCAAATAAAAAAAAAGAAAAGAAAGAAAACCAGCTCCATCTTTTTGTGCTATATTGAGGCATACTCCTTATGAGAGCGTGTGGAAAACATGATGGATGGAAATCATTACTGATAATTCAAAATGTGTTTTTTAAACGGGAGCCTAGACTACTGTAAATGGCACACATAATAACCAGAGATGATGAAACATGATCTAGTGAGGATTTTCAGCTGTATGATGTTAAGGGAGAGGAGAATTGGGTTTCCCACTTAATCAGCTAGAAAGAAACCAGTTCTGAATAGGTCACCATTTGGAACTTTGGGTAAGTCTTCAAAGTCTTTCAGGAAAAAAATAGTTACAAGAACAATCAAGTATTTCAATGGTGCTCTCTTCAGCAACCCTACCTAATATGTCTATTAAGTACAAGCATGCAAATATAGGTCAATCCACAGGCACATAGGATCCATGTTAAAAACAGTAAGATAGCTGTGATGAGTGGCACCAACAATTTTGATGACTAACACTCAAAAATGTTGCTTTCTGAATTACTAAATCGAAATCCTGAAGCAAGTTCCTGCTAGTCTTCCTCACACTGCTAAACACTAAAGTAGGCATGGTCTTTTTTCCCATTATCTTAGCTGAGCTCAAAGAATTTTTACAATATTTAGTAAGAAAAAAAAATTAAAGTATTTCCCCTTTTTAAATTTACACAGACGTTTAATTAGCTTTATTTACAGAGCGTTTTTTTCAGTCTCCAATAGTGCCTAGATAGCATCATCAGGTAAGAGTGCCAGTTTTAAAAGAGAATCTATATAGAATCCTAAAAATAACAGATGGTGATGCTCCTCCAGAAGGGGCAAGCTGGACTACTGAAGCAGCTCTCTCTACATGGCTCAGTTACTCAGGAGTAATTCTGTTGCAGTCTCTACATCCCATGATTTTGAAGACAAGGCCACTATTACTGCATTCTGCAATGAGAAAGAAAAAAAAGGCAATATTTTCAGTGTGAACCTGCAGCTCTGAGAAGTGGAAAAGTTCACAGATTAATCACAACACATTAGTTCACCATGTGTTAAATCCTAAGAGTTTACAGAAAAACTGCTTCAAAAGGCAGGTGTAGCTCACAAGATTATTAATAATGTTGTATTTTAAAATTTTGATTCTTACAAATAATTAGCAAAGCAAAGATTAGACCGACAAAGGGTCAAGGATACGGCAAGACCACTTCAGTATACTAATGACTCCCTCTATTTAAATACATGTAATTGCTCTGCCCTACTGAAAAATACATAAGTTATATATACTTACCCTATCAAAGCCCATAGCACAAAGGTTTTCTATTTTTTTGGTGTATTCTGGACTAGAAACTGGTGCTCCAGCATACACATGTGCCCAAAGTCGAGCTGTCTGTTTAAACATTTCTGGATTTTGTTTGTACTACACAAGAGAGAGAAGGGAGGAGAAGGGGAAAGTTAAAACAACTCAGCAATCCAACCAAAAAGCAAGATGATATGGCAGATTCCAATCCATCGTTCTTTCTACAACATCATCAGCAGTGCTTCACACCGATCATACTGCTAGTTCAGAGGTGAAATCTGGAGGTGAGGTTTACACATAGAGTAAACCTAGGCAAGCACTTCATTTAATGCGTTTGGCTTTAGGTTAAATTACACGCTATGGGTGTTCTAGTATGTATAAGCACATACTGCTCTCAACTGCACTGATGAAAAGTAGCTATGTTTAGCACAGCAACTGAAAATTTGTATTCAGTGTGGTAGAGCAAAAATTATCCCTATGTTAATATCTCCTGAATGTACATATGCATACTACTCTAAAGTATTTCTGTAATCATTTCAAATATGCCTGGTTTTATACACTTCAAGTAGGTCTGCCGGTTTTCCATCAGGGCTGACGTTTTACTACCAAGCCTCCTCCTGAAAGTAAGTATATTGTATGTGCAAAAGAAGGGCGGAAAAACAGGTGAGTATGTGCAAAAAAAGCCAGGAAGCTGTAACTCTTTTCATGTAAGCTATTAATTATTGGAAAAAAACATCATGCAGGGGATGTAAATCTATTTTACAACAATCTCATCACAAGTTTTCTAATAAACAACTTTACCACAGAGTTTTCAGAACTTGAAAGCCAAGAAAGTGGGTTATCTGTCATAAACTGTACTCAGAAAAGCAATGCATTTTCTATTTTAGCAAATTCTGCATGTAATGTCAAGTTCAAGGGGGTTTTGTATTAAAAAAAAACCACAACAAAACTCTTTCCCTTATTCATTAAAATGCAGGTATTCCCATCTTTGGAGAAATAAATTTAGCTCTAAATAATAAACCAAGGTATTAAGAATTACATTATTTAAATATATAGATGCATTTTGAAGGCAGAAACGTGGCTGATTATCATTGTAAACATTTTATTCATACATGAAAACAATCATTTAATCGATAAAGCACTGTCAAAGTGAATATAATACTTTTACTGCTGTACTTTTTAACCTTACCTCTCCTAAGCAACACACATCAACTACACTGCTTTGTGTGCTTTGTCCACTTCCCACTCATTCTGCTCCACATGATTTGTATATTTACTATCTGACTATTAGCATTGAAACAAACATGGGAGACAATCTATTGTTGGAAATAACTCACTGGGTTGTAAGTACAGTGGTCTGTAATACATGTTTTTGGATGTAATGAGTAGAAAAGAGGAAAGATTAAGTTATGCATTAGTAGCATCCTCAAGTACTATGGTTCTGCTCTTAAGAGATCTTCCCCCAATCATTTTTTTTATATGTATTTCAGAACACTCCCAAGCCTAGAAAGCAACTAACTGAAGTGTGAAGGATTAGTCATAACTGCATAACTGCATCTTATTCAGAACCAGCTTTCAGTGGCCTACAAATAAAATTCCTTTACTTAGGTATCCGTAAATACTCTAGCTTCTCACTGAATTGAGAAAAGCCTAAAGGCACCTCTTACTGATGTCTCTGTGTCAGGAATCTGAGGCAGTCAATGCTGCTGTACTTAAAAAGAAACAGCAACCAGCTGAAGTAGTTCTGACAACTGATAGCTGGTGTCTGAAAATACTGCCGTTATTCCAACAGGATTTCTCCCTGGGATTCAGCTCAAGACCTTGTAGAACACTGCCATTTACCTGGACAGCCTCGCAGTCTAACACACAGTTTAATAAACAAACATGAAAAATAAGCATGGAGGATAACAAGAATAATCTTGTGAATTTCTGGTTTTGGAGAAAAAAAACCCAACCTCAAAACAAACTAGACCCCAGCACCAAATAAAACACACGAAGGAACTGGGTGTTTACTACCAAATCTCTCAAAGATGTTATAATCACTTTTTATCTACACAGACATGCTTGTAACTCAAGGCCAAGCCCCATCAGAGTTTCCATGCAGGTAACTGTAGGGAACAGGAGAAACTGAATCCTCCCCGTAAGCCAGGCCACAGTCCCACTGGACACATCCCCACAAGCACCTGAAAGGCAGCCTGGAAAATTGCTCTTCTGAATCTAGGAAGTTTCATGAAGTTTTCTGCCTGAGAAAACACTCCAGCCCAAAAGCTTCTACAAGTCTGTTAGGATTCCCACACAAAATTCTACCACTCGGCCAGAATGGGAAACGCTATTCTTGTTCTTTGAGAGAAGGAAAAAGTGGGTTTGTTTAATAAAGAGAGGCTGACAGCCTAGGCACACATCTGGCAAGAAAAAACAGTGCAGGGACATGCCTGGTGGCCTTAATAGCCTCTGCAACAATCCTTCCTGCGCAGAGGAATTCAGTCTGACAGAACTGTTCAGGGACATTTGTTCAGAGCAGCCTTAGAAGTACTGCAGAATCCCACAAGCAAACCATTTGTACTACTGAGTACAGTAGTAGCAAACAACTCTCCACACCCAGTAGTGCAAAGGGCAACCTCTAAGTTTCCCTCCAAATCCTGCCAGGTTTGATAAACTGCTAATTTATCATCCTACACAGATTTTACAGGGAAGGTGTGCACACTGCCTCCCTATCTTGGAAGGTCCTGACTTACAGGAGATACAGATGAGACTGATGCTGGAAGAACCTTGTAACTGCTTTGTTCTTTCATTACTGAAATACACACTACTACCAGTTGCTGGGGAAGCCAAGCCTTCTCTCTCTTTTTCCCCCAGAGTAGAAAGGAAAAACAACACACATACTTGGGACTTTGTTGAAAACTCTCAGACTATTAAGTTATGGAATGACTGTTCCCATCTTTCAACAACACTTCAAACAGAATGACATCATTCCTGGTATGGCATCAGACCCAAATGATATTTTATTGGCATTTATGAGTTATTGCTACTGTCTGAAAAGTAACAAACCCTGTCGATTATAGAATTCTGCTAATACAAATTCAACCAGCGACAGTCATCCCAAGTACTTGCAAAGGCAAAAATACACAGAATGCTTCATTCAGATAAATCGCTTCTCAGGATTAAATGCAACAGTAATTCATCTGAAGTCACTATTCATAAAATTGTCATCAAATAAAAGGCTCAACAACATTTATATTCATAGGAAGAGGAGCTACATACCAAGCCATTTTCAAGGAACCCTGTCAAGTCAAAACTTTAAACCAATACAAATTGCTTTTCTTATAATAGAAGCCTTAGATTTTAAAAGCCAGGTTATAGTGGAAGTCATTTTACTATGCTGTTATCTTCCGACATTCCTGGCAAGCTAAATAACTCACACTTACTGCAAGGGAACTTTTCAATAAATTCTTTAAAAATCTTCATCTCCCCCAGGGTTTGGGACCTAATCCGAGTTAGCAATGGTTACAGAAGTGTTACAAATTCACAGTCAACTGAGTATCTTACCTGGTTTGCCACTACTGCATCTTGTGGATCATCTGGTTCTGCGGCTGCCAACAATGCTTGCAGCGATAACAACACCGTTCTTAGAGTCATTGCTGCTGCCCTAAAATTAAATATTTGAAAATGACTTCATCAAATCCCATGCTTGTACTCACCTTTGCTGCTGTACTAGAATCATAGAAGATATGAGGACATGTACACATTTGATATCTAAGAATCATAATTTTAAACTGTTGCAGCTTATAGTTATTAGAATACCACTCTATATATTTCAATAGGGTTTTAAATGTGGACTTTCTTTTTAATATTGCTTTCTTAAGCTTTTGGAAAATAAAGTCCTTGACTTGCAGATTTGACCATGCCCACTTAACAGAATTCAATTTATCTGAAAAATAAAAATGCCACTTTGAAGTTTGTGTTATCCTTCGTTACTACCAGTAACAGCACCCTGCGTAAGGTACATACAGAGCTGCTAGCCCCTGCGTGCTCCCTCTGCTGGCACTCTGCATAGCAAACCACCATATACAGACCTAGGGACCTGTATTTTAAATACTTGTAACATATTAGGAATTTTATACGTTAGGTATCTTTAGCATTACATCGGTTTTAATACGACATTTTGCAGTAAAATGTGAACAATTCAGTGAATTAATACTATAGTAATAAAAAGGTCTGGGTATTACAGAATATGCAATTGAAAATACTAATCTCAGCTTCCTCTCATTTCAACTTCACATGACTGTCAGAAGCAGGAAAACATTCTGTAGTCATGATGGTGCTGTAAAGTCACTCTTTTGCCCTTGTGAAAGAACACTGTTGAAGGTAGCACAGGTCTAGAGTCAGAGCTTCTACGGTTCCAAGTTCTGATAATTAATCTTGATCTCAAGGCATAGTTAGAGACCTCAATAATTTAGTAAGGGAAAACCAAGTATGTTCATAAAAAAAAAATATCAATAAACACTCAGAAAAGTATGAAATGCTTACACATTGTAAATTTGGAAAGTTGTAACTTTTTAAATACACAGTTAAGTTTTGATCATGAATACCACCTCTGATCTACCATTTCAGCATGGCACATACTGGAAGCCAAACAAGGACCCCACAGGATCTGTGGAAGTTTAGTATTTCAGCTGATTTGAAGTGTTAAGCAGACTCTTAATTGCTGTGGCAAAGACAGATGCTCAAACCAATACACAAAACTGCTTACTTTCCATAAGAACTAGTAGAAAGGTAAGTGGGGGAAAACGTGCCATCTTGGATTTGAGTGAAATGTCAGAGGCAAGTTGTGAAACACAGGCATCCAATTTCTTACAGACAAACTGCTCCATTTTCAATCAACGGAAAATAGTTTCTTCTTTTCAAAAGACTGAAAGTAAACGCAGTCTGTTAGAAGAGTCTGACCTGACAGTCCAGATACTTAGGAAACAGTCTGCAAATCTATTTCCAGTCCCAGACTTCAGAAATGTATATATTTTCCACTACTTGGGCACCAGTATTGAGGTATTCCAGCAGAGTACACCGATGAACAGAGAACAGATGCTGGTAAAATGCTTGATGTATGTTTGTGACACCCACATATTATATTCCTAGATCACAGAATCATAGAATGGGCGAGTTGGAAGGGACCTTTCATGATCATGTAGTTCCCACCCCCCCTATAATGGGCAGGGACACCTTCCACTAGACCAGGTTGCTTAAAGCCCCATCCAACCTGGCCTAGAACACTGACAGGGATGGGGCACCCACAGCTTCTCTGGGCAACCTGTCAGTGCCTCACCACCCTCACATTAAACAATTTTTCCTAGTATCTCATCTACATCTACCCTCTTTCGGTTTAAAGCTACTACCCCATGTCCCACAGCCACATGTCCCCGTAAAAAGTCTCTCTCCAGATTTCTGGAGGTACTGGAAGCTGCTCTAAGATCTCCCCTAAGCCTTCTCTTCTCCAAACTAAACAATCGCAACTCTCTCAGCCTGTTTTCATGGAGAGGGGCTCCAGCCCTTTGGTTATCTTTGTTGCTTACATCTACAGCTCTCCTGCTATGTCACAAGCCATTCAAATACAGCATTCTTCCCTTATTGTTTCTAATTCTAGATGATTTTTCCTAGAAACTCTTTTTGTTTTCAGCTTGATAATCATCACTGAACTTTCACAGTACAGTGTTCTACATGAGAACGCAAGTGAGAAACATCCCAAGTGACTGAGATTTTAATTAGCACATATTGTCCCATTCCAACTGCTGCATCAGCTTGAAGTCCCTCAAGCTGAACTTTGCAGATTTAAATTATAAAAAAACCTTTGTGCTTTTAGATCCGGATTCTGACAAATCACAACCCCCCAACAACATATCATTATCTTTTTCCAATGCTACTTTTTAGTAACTAAACTTTAATTTTCTTCCCAGAATTTCAGATTTTCTTCCAGTTAAATTTAAGTACTTCAGGTTCTAAGTCGAATGCTTCTTGCAAGCCCAAGAACATTTCTTTAAATTATAAAGCTGGGGATTAACTAGTAAGATTGTATTTAATCTGATAACACCTGGTTACTGAAACATGTCCTCAGTAGCATTACACAAGCCCAGCTAACATAGTAAACTGAAGAGTACAAAGTATCTTGCTTGAATTGGAAACACACCCCCAAAAAACCTCAGTGAAAGAGCACAGAAATATTTTTGCTTTACCTATGCTATTATACTGTTTTAATTTCCTGTTCTTTGTGATGCCTACTTGTTTATATGCTTGAAATTAATTTATTCAATGTACACATTGATTACTTCATTCACAGTGCTGCTAGAAATAAATCAATGTAATACAACAGGTTGACTATTCCAGCATTCAGATGTTACTGAATGCTGAGTCTTTCAGACCTTCCTATGCTTAAATGGATGCAACTACTTTTATTTTTATGCAGTGACTTTCAGGAACTACCACATCCACACACTATAAAACCTAAAGTCTTCTTTTCCCAGTTAAAGATTTTAATTACACTATCTACTGCAGTTAAAAAAAAAAAAAAGACAGACTCAACATGAAGTATCTATCAACTGTAACCGATACTAAAGTTACTTTCATCAAATAAAAGCTGTTCTGCATTTGCCTGTATAGAAATCCTTCTATTTTAGAGAGACCTGAAAATATTCCCATTATTTCAAGTAGAGAAGACACAAAAGGGGTCACAGCCAGTTCTGCCACTTTTGCATGCAATTTACTTCCATTCACACTGTACCTTCTAGGAGTAGAAAGTATACCTTGGTGAGCAGGAAGCATTACTAAGGACCAAAGGTGCCATGGATGCCCAGAACAAGGGTATCTCTGTTCTGCTATGCCTGTGCCAGCTATCTCTGGCTTTCAAGACTGCTAGGCCCCTGCAGTCTTTCCTCATTTGTTATGTTTGTAGATTTTTATATAAAGCATACTGAGACTTGAACTTCTGTTCTGACATTCCAATTTCAAAGTACGTAATAAAAATAAATACCTCATCCATTTGGATATACAGATGGATGCACGCTCAGAGAACTCAAACTCTGAAGTAATAACTTTACAGACAAGACCAGCTACATGTAAAAAAGGTTCAAAAATGTAGCTTACAACTTATTTTCAAGTTTCATGTCTCAAAACGACTTTCATATCTCACACATATGAAAGTCTTCATTAGACATAAACGTTTAAAGAAGTATTCTTAAAAGAAAACCTGTTTTTTACAGATTTTTTACATTTACAGAAAACCTGTTACTGCTTCAGCTGCTGTTTGTATTAAAAAGAAGAAATTAAAGCTTGTGATTAATGGTACAGGAAATCCAATGTATTTTGTGTAATTATTGTATACTCATGTAACATATTCTACATTTAGGACACCAATTAGCTTTCCTGATCAAAGTAAGAAAGAAAGGCTTGTTCCTTTCTATGGAGCTTAGTCTCAATTTTCCAGACATAAATTAAAATTCTCAGAAGAAATCAGAAAATAGATTCTCACTTCCCAAGTACCTTAAGAAGCTCTTCTTCCTTCCCATTACCTTCTTTCGACAGAATAAAGTGAATGGAGATGACTGTCCAGAACTACATTTGCAGACACTCACAAGGTAGTACCTGTTCCTCATCAGCAAAGAGCACAACCAATTCTCATCATCAGTTCCAGAGGAAAATCTATGCCAACAGTGGCACAAAACTAGAAAACCAAACACACATCACACAGCATCCCCACAAGCTAGAGAAGAATGTGCTGCAAAGAAAGTTGCATTTTCCTTAAAACAAACTTCCAGTGGAAAAATAGAGGTCTTCTGCATTTGCCAGCGCTTGTCAAGGGTTTATTTTTCCAGAATAGAATCCTGAAAAAAACAGAAAGATTTCCAACCCTTCTTACATTTGAAGTTTACATCTAGGTGTGGGTTTATGAGCAAAATCTCATGGAGTTCAAGCAATTCCCTTTGCTAACTCAAGCTAGCTGCGGACTTGGATCTTAGGTTTTTTTCTCTCCTCTGTCCCAAAGGCAAGGTCTTGTATCATTCCTGACAGACTTCTGTCTAATCTGTTCTTAACTGGAGCCTCACAGGTTTCTTGGAAAATATATTTTAATGCTTCACCATTGGTATTCTTGGTATTCTGCATGCTACAACGGCTTCCCAATCTTTCATTATAGGTCATACTTGCTTAGATCATATTTGCTTTTTATTTTATTCTGGATTTTTTCCTATGGTTCCCATCATTCTTGGAATACAATGCTTAAAGTGGTTACACTGCTACAATGGAACCCTAACCAATAGTAAATAAAAAACCAGGCAACTTGTATCATGAGTTTTGCAGGCAGAACTGCCTACATCCTGGCATCCTATTTGCCTTGCATGTTACATTATATTGCCTTTGTCCCATGACATTACTGGTTCCTGCTTTCTCCTAAAGTTTCCAATAACCCTTGACTTCTGCTCCCATCCCAAAAAGCTGCTTAGCTACTGTGCAGGCTTGCAAGTTTGGCATCTCCAAAATGGGAGGAAAGGCCAGCAACATCTACCAGTGAGAAGCAGAGCTCACTACAGGGAAGCACTGTCCCTACGAGAACATATGTATTTTGCTCACTTACCATTTTTTATTTATTTATTTTTAGGTAATATCTTGGGGCATTTCCATTAAAAAAGAGCACCACTAGTTTGGGTGAATATAGTGATATTAAAAAGCACAGCAAGCCAGCTGTGCCCAGCATGCCTGAGGTAAGAAATCTCTTACCTTTTGATGAGCTGAAAGAGTCCTAAGAGGATTATGAAACACAGCCAGTTTTAGTTCTTCATTTTTAAAGGTAAGTAATTTTCCATTTAGGAAGTTTTTACTTATGCTCTGTACATTCCCCCCTGGACGCAATCTCTCAGTTACTCCAAGAGGTAACCCAGCAGAACACAGGAACAGCTGCAGCCAGCAGACTGCTGCCCTGCTCTGTCAATCAAACACGGATACTGGTTTATTTTTATTATTATTTTAAAAAATAATCTGCTATATTTACTCCATTTGTGAAATAACTAAGTTGTTTAATCCAAGAAAAAAAGCTCTGAGAACTTGGAATCTGGAAGGAGGGAGGAAATGAATAAGGCCTTTGCGTGGAAACCCCTTGTATAGTCACTACAGGAGAAATACAAGACTGGGAACCCGTCAGGGAAAGAAAAAAAAAAAAAAGAAAAACAGAACAGCTTTGACATAATGCAAGGGGGAAGAGCCTGCCTGCTTGCTGAACAGTTCCCTCAAACAATGTTAATATTCCCTGCAATTTTCTCAGAGCTGTAAGGAGGCTCAATGCTCCTCAAACACCCTGAACAAAGCACAGCAGTTCTAGGTGTCACAATACATAAATGAGCCCAAGATAATGATTCCTATGAGCTGGCTCTTGCTTATGTATCTATTAAAACTCCAGTAGAGCCACTATGAAAAAGAAATATTCTGATTATTCACTTTTATTTCAACTGTCAAACCCACAACAGCCAAGAAGTTTTTGTAGCCCTACAGCCAGCCACAACACATTCACTTGATAATCACTGCTCAAAGGATTTAGGAAGAGCAGCTTTCAAGTAATTTAGCTATCGGGTTTCAGTGAACAGTATTAGATACATTTTATATTTGAGAATAAAACACTGAGATAGAATACTAGCCTGGAAGACAAATGGAGGCCACAGTAGGTGAAACCACATAACAAAACTTGCATCAGACCAGAACAGTATTCCTTTTACAAAAGCATACACCTATTTTAATTCTACCAGCAAATGGTAGCTGCTTTGCAAAGAAACTGGCATAACAGGTATTTACAAATCTAAACATGATCAAAATCCACAGCTGCAAAGAATTTCAGCATCAAGCATATACTGTGGAGAAAGGATTTCATTAAACTCATTAAAAATCATTGAAAGATAATACTTCGCAAACTGATTAACACCTCCTGCCAACATGCAGACTACCTCAACTATGCTCAACAGAAAATCGTTATCATGGGATAGGTGAGTAGCAAACGGCCGTCTTTTACTACACAAACACATTAAAGTCTTTGTATTCACCGTACATAAATGAGTATTTTATCAGTTTATTGACTCTAAGAAATCCTACTAAGTCCCATAGGCCCCAATTCTGTCCTCCAACTCCCACTGACCTCACTGAAAAACACAGCTATGCACTGGAATTTGAGACTTACATTTCAACACTGTAACAGAGCAGCATTATTCAGTTAAGAGCATTACAAGTCAACGAAGTAGCACTTCAGAAACAGAGCTTGTTACTAACAGATTTGGCAAGACAGACTGTGGAACTAAATATATTTTCTAGAACACAGCCATCAGAGTATTTTGGAATTTCGTTTGTCCCATTTACCTTTGAATGCCTGTGAAATCAATTAAATATGAAATTATCAAGGTTAGGCAGATGTTCCTTGAATTTGTTTACTTTCTAATTAATCTATCATTTTATTCAAACCATTGTTCTACTTATGCATGCAGGAATCTTAAACATGGTGACATGGCCATTTCTCAGTTCAAATAACTAAACCAGCATATACTGAAGAACATTGAGCAATTAATTTTAACAATACTAACCATTTATATGGCTTAGGAAGTTTTAGGAAGCTACTCAGAATAAAGACTTCTCTATCACAATACTGAAATCCTTCAAACAAGAAAGGATGGAGGTAGCCACAATTTTGCTCTATTCCAGAGGACCAGAGGCCTTGACAAGCACTTTAACAATGCTCAAGTAATTTTCATTTACCATTCCATGATTAAGAATCAAAACTTAGAAAAAGCACCATTAGAAAATGAAGGGATCACTACATTAAGAATTACAGAATTAAGCCTCCTCCTATAATACATTAAGAATTAAGAAATATGCCTCCTCTTTGCCAAGTTCTGTGAAATTCTTTTCTTAGTGCTTCCAAGTGAAGAAAGTGCTTCAAAGGAAGAGTTTAAAAATACACACATGGCATAATATTGGTGCTCCCTGTGCTAGTCAGTTCAAATATACAGAAGGCAAGTTCTTGCTCCATTACCCCTATTTCGTCTGCATCTCAGTGAAAGAAGATTAATGTCTTTTGTGGTTTAGTTTCCCTTCCCCTTGCACCCATCAGGCAGAACTGAAACACAGATTAAGTTTTCTGTGCAAGACCTAGCTTTCAAAGACTACAAGAACACAAGTCAAATCCTCTCTCCTGTTCTTCCTTTCCAAATCCCAATACTTTTGACAAGAAAAAAAAAAAAGAAAAATCAGGTGAAGCTCATGATTTTAGGTCTTTGTTGCCTTTTGGTATTTTGAGCTTGATCAGCCACTGAAAAGGCCAGAAACTTTCCTCTTAAAAGCTATTAACTGCTTCATTCTTAAAGCAGCAGTTTTGGTTTAAGACTGAATTTTGTGAGACTGTTTCAAGTCACAATGTTTGGCAATTCTGAAAAGACAACAGAAGACCTGCTCCGGGGCTGGAAATCAAAATGTCTCCTGAATTCCACTCCTTTGCTACGTAAGCAAGGTAATCCGTTCTTCTCCACAGAAAAGACTAATTAGGGAATGTATTAAAGTAACATGAAGATAATAAGAAAATGTGAAAGAAAAAAAAAGTCATTACTTCAGTTTTAATTCAGAAGCTGATAAATAAGCTAAATAAGTGTGACTTCTGCTACAGACTGCCGTTCTCAAAACTTCTAGGGAAAAAATGTTAAATAAGTGTTGGTTTTGAGAAATGTGATGTTTAGGGGCTTCAATATGGAAAGATTAGCCTTGGAGGTACATGCTAAAAGTCACAAACCTTGATACTATGAGTAAATCATATAGACAGTGCATAAAGGAGTACCAAAAGATGGGAGAAAAAAACCCCAAACCAAACTCTGAGCTTAAAAACTTTGAATAAATTCTTCCTAGGAGAGTATTAATGACAGTGAGAGGGAGTTCCATGTTAACCACCTCTGCTTCCAGAAATAAAGGATTTTGCCTCACCATATGCAATAAAAATAAAAAAATCCCAGCACACAACCCAACCAGACAACTTCATGCCCATTCACCCTCAGCTCATTCATGCCCATCTCGTTTAGAGTTCAGTCTCTCAGTAAACTTGCACAGCTAATGAGTCGTTAATCTCCAGTATAATTGCAGGTTGGTATGAATAACTAGGTGCAGGCACTGGCTTTACTGATAGGAAAATTATACCATGTACCACAGCACTTATGTTGAAAGATTCTACTGCCTCAAAGAATATCAAGTGCTCCGAGACTGTAAGAAAAGATACGCTGTTCCAGAAATGAAAAATACAACATGATCATTATTTCATTTTAGTAATTTACACTACCCTGTGCCACATGATTTGCATAACCTTCTCACTCTGTAGAAGATGAATACATCAGATGTGTAACCTGCAAGACTTCAACTCAAGCTTTCTGCTCTTTCAAACCCAACTGACTTCTGCTTGGCCAATAGCAGTCTTGATGAAATTGTTGACTTTACAAACATTTGAACATTAGGTATTATCTGTTGAGGAATTACAGTCCTATTCTTTTACGGCAGACATGGAGGAAAATAACAAAGCTTATTCCATTCATGTCAGGCATCATGTCTATGATACAACTGGTGCATATAATCTTCAAACCAGACAAAATGTATTACTGGAAAAACAAATGAACAATGAGTTCAGCTGTTACAGGTTGGACACTTACAGGTCTACTCCACAGATGTGGGCCATTAACACTTTTTCAGTAATATTAATCAAAAGTCAGCAACTAAAAAGCAAATAGTTTACAGAGGTGCAAATCATCAATATTATCAACAATGAGACAGATGAGCACAGTCTTTTCTTCTCCCTTTCCAACTGCTGACCTGTTACCTTTTACACTCCCAGACTTACTTCATGCATTGTTTTAGCTCTATCAGAACTAATTTTTATTTGGAAGTAGAAGTCAAGAGTGAAGATAAGCACTTGGGTTTTTTTTCTGCATACACTCGGGAGGCTGAAAGGACAAAATTTAGGAGGCAACAGACAGATCTTTCCCATAGCCAAAAAATTGTAAGACCTAAAAACCCACCCAAAACAATGAAACGTTCACCATAATCCTCGTATAGAATTTTTTGGATGAGCTCTCTATGCTTATAATATCTGCTTGGTGCTTTCCAAATTACCAATCTTTTCATTTGTATCTTTTCAACTTACACTACTGTACTGAAATATTGTAAGCTTTAAGGACATCTCAAATTACAAATGCAAAGCGAAAAGCAACATGATCTGTTGCTGCCCATCCAGGACACCAGTGTATCTGATTCTGCACATTTGAATCTGTATGGAATCTTACCATTGATCTTTCAGAATATCCAAACAAATGGCCCCAGTGACTGAGCTAATGTTAGGATGCCATATTTTGGTGATAAACCGCACCTAGAAGATAATTTTTAAAAACAAAACCAGTTATTAAATGGCATATATTAAATAAACATTTTAAACAATATGAAGAAATACTAATTTAGGAAATATCAAGCTAAAACCAGAACTTAAGACGTGATACCACTTATTTCAGGAGGCTTCAAGTCTGCAAAGCCATTTGTTAGACAGAACCCTGCTTTACTCAAAAACAGAACTCAACTGAGGACACCAAACTCATCCCTAACTGCCTTCCCATATGCTGTCATGTGTGCATATCCCTGCATTGCACAAAGCCCAATTCCTTGGTGGGTGCTACTACTTCTACAACCATCCAGTCTCATTACCTATATACAGAAAGCTTTTCAAGAAACCAGAATTTAACTAGATTACAATTATTTTTCTTAACTGTTGACAGAATCTAGTCCCAGCATGCATTCACTGATCCTGTCCATGTTTGTACACTAAAATAAAGTGTATTCATGCTCACAAAGCACTAATAAAATCAGTTTGGGCTGGGGTTTTTTTTCATTTATTTGGGAGTCTATTTGTTTGTTTGGGTTATGGTATTTTATTTTTTAAAGATGCTAGGAAAGTTAAAAGCAACATTTACTTCTGAAAGTCTCAACACCCAAAGCTGTCCTCTGAAAGGATTATATATACGCCTTTAGAAATTTCTCCTTCATTTTCTTCAAACCCCTTATTTCAGGTTGCACTTTAACTATCATCTTCTAGTGACTCTGACCTGTCTCTTTCTCATCTCTACCTCCTCACTCCAAATTCTTTTTATATGTACCTTTCAACTTTTGCCCCTGACCTGCAAGCAAATCAGGGCAGAGAACGCGTTATTTTTCAGACACTACAGCAAAAGACTATACATACAGGACTACAGAAATATCAGTACAATCATGGTGTATAAATAGGTAAGACCATAACAGTTTTGCTTTCTAGGACAGAAAATAAGAGATCATGTCAGCTGAGCCACTTATTCACTAGCTCAACTCTAAACCACTTTGAAAACGTAAAAAGCCATGTAAATACCAAGTAATTTCCCACAATGAATGACTGCAAACAGTGGCTGTCAAAGCACATTCTGAATGAGATAAAAAAATCTTTTAGATGAAAGGCAGGGCCAGACCCAAGCAAAAAGGCCTCCCATTCAAGATTACAGATTCCAGAATAAGCCCTACTATGCTACAGTGCGCTGAGCTTCTAACAGCTGCCTATAAACTTTGGAAATGGAAGCCAGCAAGCCCTAAAGCAGCAATTTAAAACCATGGTACATAGACCCATCTTTCAGTGTCTACGACCCATTTCAGCTCTCCTTTAGCTCTCTACAGAACACATGCAGATGAAAAGAACTGAAACCAACACACATTTCATTAAGATTTTCTGTGTCCTTCACTCCAGCCTCAAGGAAATCATTCAAAGGACAAAAGCCAAGGAGCTACAGGCACCTCTCCCTTCCTCCTTTATCCCCAATTCCCTCCCAGTATTACACATCAATGTGAAAATTATCAAGATCTAGGACACATTCTTAGTTCAAAGACACCTTTCAGGCAAACAGAAAACCAATCAAGAAGCTGAGTCAGACAACTCAGGAGTCTGCCGATATATCAGAAGCCACTGAAAAAAGGACTAAACCAGGGCACAGAAATGCACAGTTACAGCTGCACATGCACTTATTCAGATTGATCCATTTAGGAGGGAAGTGGAATCACAAATTTAAAGTACTAGAAAGATACAGTAAAGTTGAAAGGGCAGGAAGTCGCAAAAAAAATATGAGTTATTTTACCACACTTATCTCTCATCCATGTGCATGTTTTATGCACTCTCTCAGTAAAGTTGCAGTAAGACTACTGTATTTCTCTATTGGGTCTTCAAGTCACACAACCGTACACCTCACTATTTAATTATTACTAGAAAATGGATAGGTTAGACCCAAGACTCTACTAAATATACCTTATGGAGTCCAAGAAATTAAAAGAACCAATAATTATTTATTACAGCATTTCTTCGATGATGGGAGTGACGGGAGAGAGGGGGAGAAGGAGGGATAGCCATACTCTCTACATCAAGTAAAACTATATGAAAACTAAGAAATTACACAAGGGTCAATAAGGCACAAGTTCCTCCCCAGAATTTGCCAGTTTGTACTTTAAGGAATAACTAGAGCATACTTCTGATTGGATACAGTTATGCATCCTGAATTATTTCTACCTAAATATAGCAGCTCCAGTGGCTATCTAGAGAGAATTAAAAAAAGAGATGGGTAATACAAAGAGACTACATACACAAGCAAAGAAATAAGAATGCTCAAAACCAACTTGTTAGCTGAATTACATAACCAAAAAACTGTTTACAGTACCTTAGGAGGATTAAATGGATACGTTTCTGGAATTTTTATCTCTAATTGATACCTTCCACCTGCAAAAGAACAAGTTGGAAATCAAAACAAAAGAACATGACAATAAAGCTTACATTTCTAAATGGACAGGTTTTCAACAGATACGTTAGCTATAAGATAGTTCTAAATTCCACATATTTTATTAAAAAATGCATTTAAGTCAATATAAGAAATATTTGCTTATGCAAATCAGAATCTGTATTTCCTATGTATGTTTAATGTGTATATTCTCCTGTAGCTTCTAATCTCCAATGTTGTAATTTCCATGCTCTATTTTAGTAATATACCAAAATATCAACCAAGTATCCCCCAAACAGATACAACAATAGGCCACAGGAACATGCAGCCTGAACATGAGATTACATTATTTTGACTGTTTTCTGATACCTTATGCCAATAAATCTTCTTCAAATTACACCTGAAATCACAGTTGAAAATAACTATTTCATTTTAAGCTTTCTGGAACTCTAGAATGTTTAACTAAGTCAGTTAAGAAAAGATCCCACAATGTGGGGGGAAAAAAGCAACAACAATAAAACCAACCAACCAGAGCCACCAATATTACTTCCACTATGTTCTATTATTATTGTCTGAACTAGTTACTTCTGTTCCAATTCTGTAAACGCTTTGATACACTAGTATTAACAATACAGCTTGCAGGGTTATAGCATTCAGTAAAGGACAGCATGAGCTTGGCAGACAGAACCATGTTCTACTACCCTTCCCTGAACATTTCTGTTTTCTCTCCATTATCATATCATTACCTTTGTCTATTTCAATCATAATTTTGTTAACGTTCAAGTTTACTATCAATACCTCCATTTTACACAGTAATCTCAGTCTGTCTGCCCACTGAAGATCATTTGCCAGGCAGCAGTTTAATGACAAAAAGAACACAGGGTAACAAAACATACACAACAATTTAGACATTTATTTTTTATAAAAACTGAAAGTATTTCTCCTCATTTGCTATTCTTTCAGAAAGAAACCTTTTAATATGCTTTGTTACAATCCATAAATTTCCTTGAATGAAAATTGAAGTATCTGCAAACTATTTCCTCTGGGATTTCAAGAGTGATTTATTCTTTTGCAATTCACTGTATTCAAAACCAGCTCTCAAGCAGTCTCAATACAGGCTGCAAGATTCGCATGCAAGGAAAAGAAACCCTCAAAGGAATACTCTGAACAGTTATAGTCTATTTCACCTTTTTATCTGTGCCAAAATACAGTTCAGCAGCTAACACCACCTCTCACTTTTAAGACGTAATTCAGTCTAATGTATTACACCTGAAACTGATTAATATCACTTTGGTATTTTTACACTACATTCTACAGCTGGTTTTCCTCAATACTACAGCATCTTGAGATTATGTAACAAAATACAACAGAAGAAAGCCCAATAAATACAAAATTATCATAGTTAAGATCCAAGTTGATCACTTTTCTGCTTAGAGGACAGCACAGGTGAAATATTTTTGTAGGCCTATATATCAACAACGGACCTTGAGTAAGTTTGCTTTTCTTTTTGCCTATATTGAAGCATAATTCACCAACAATTTTTCCTAAGAAACAGAGCTATTACACTGTTCCTGAATTGAAAAAATCTCCAGTCCCTGTATGATTTTATTCCTAACACCATTCTGTAACATATTATAAAACCTACATTTAGGTATTACCATTTCTTCTGCTTTCCATTAAAACTTGCCTTTAAAGGACAGACAGTTACAACTTTCTGCACAACAGGCTATTCAGCCACCAATTTTTTTCCACCTGCAATGTACAAGTCCAAAAGATTTTAAAATTGCAGGGACTAATGAGTTAGTAGTATTATTTTTACAGTACTGTTGCCATCCAGTGAAGTTTACAGTTAAAAATACAGGCTTGAAGATTTAGACTGAACAAATCTGGATATTAATTTCCTTAATACATTCAGAAACCAACTGAGTTACACGCTACCTTCTGCATGCCAATATTTCTGCAGAATTTTTTTAAAAAGGAGTATGCATACGTGTGGCTCTTCCATACCTATTCAATACTTGAGATTGAATTAAACAGTAACAGCAGAACATTCCTTCTGTAATCCTACTGGAGCATACATCTCACAATAGAGTTAGGGTATTTCTTCAAGAAAAACAGTTAAAACTTGCTCTATTATAAATTTTGCAGTTCCTGTGGCTCACATGCAAGCTTGGCTTGACATTAATACCGTGGTTATACAGGGTTCAAAAAGCAAATAATAAAAATCTATCTATTGAAAAGCTCCTGAATCACGTAAAGCCCAGCAGCCATTAATCTAGACTTTCAAAGGTCCTCACTTCAAACATATATATTTTAATGTGGGATGCAAACATGTTTCAATTGAAGCTGTCTTGCAATATTCTGATAATTGATCAATGAGTTGACACAAATGACAGAAAAATAAAAGCTGCACTATCTGTCAACAACAGATGGCATTCTTTTACTCAGTCACATTTAGCCAATGTCTGGACACCACCTATAAAAGAACTTTTTAACAGCAGCTTGCTTTCAGATACCTTACTAACTGTGGTTAATAATGGTCCTAGAGTTCCCTCCCGTATCGCAGAATTGTCTGACCTGTACTACCACATTAATTAGCTTTCCTTCATAAAGCACTTCTTGCTGTGTCATTGTTTAGACTGCAGATGACAGGGATCAGCCAGTAATATGCAGCATGTATTACTGCTTTAGTTATAAAATTTAAACTGCACACACTGGCAAGCCCTTCATAATTACATCAGGGAATAAAGGCATGAAGTTATGTTAGAGAAATATTAATGTTCCAATGTAAATTATTCAAGTATCAGGAAACACCAGAGACTGGGCTGTCAGTAACTTCCATTTTGCTCCTTGGTGCATACAACCTCCAGATTAAAGTAAGAATATGATCACATTATTTTTCCATGAGATCCCTGACATAATCAGAATACACGATAGTTTTAGCCCCCCAAAAGGGCTATTTACTATATCCTCATCATGAAATGTCCTCACATGTAGGCAAGTATGCACGCTTGCATTTCAAGTCAACAAATTCCGCACTGAATGTATAATGCTGATTTTCATTAGCAGGATATGCTGAATACGTGCATACACAGTGCTTGGCTTTTGAAATTTTGGTCTAGCTGAATTATCCAGCATCACACAGAACCCAGTTCTGCAGACAGGCATTCACATCTTTTTTTTTACCCTCTTCATGAACTTTTGTGACACATGAATATATCTGTCATTTCAAATAACTCTCAATACATGCTCCAAAAATAAAAATCCATTTTATTATCTAACGTAATGCTGACCTGGAAGGGAAAAAAAACTGGCAAGCCATGACAAACCAACTCATCCAAGGAGGATTAACTCTGAATGGAAAAAAACTGAACACCAAACCCCCCAAAACAACACCCTCCCCACACCATTCAGATGTTTCCTAGTATCCAAGTACTTAATTTTGCAACATCTTAACATGTAAAACTAAGTCTTATATATGCAAGACCAACTATATCTGCAACAGAACCATAACACTAACACAGAATAGTCCACTTTCAAATAGGTCACAAGCACGACCACGTATTTTAGGTACACAGCATACTTTTACATTGATGGCACATGTTATAACCAGAATAAATTATCATCTTTCAGGACAACATTTTCTGTCAACTAAATACTAGCAGCTGATAAGATGAGGATAGAGAGAGTAGAAAGATGGAGGGGAGGGAAGGAACTGCCATTGTACGTTAGAGAGCAGAGGAACACTGGGACATAAGTTCTGGAGGGGAGCATCCTTACCATTACAGATGCTCCTGCTTTTCTGTTCTCTCCCTTCCAGGCTCATTTCCTTTCTCCACAACTTCTAACACCTACCCCAACCCCACTCGCTCAGCCTCTGTTAAGCTGTTTCCTCATCCTTTATCTGCTGTAGGTCTCAGCAGGGAAGACTGGGTAGCAAGCACTGGAGAGACTCTCTCTGCTCCCAAGTCCAATGCTAGTGCATCAGCAACTAGCCTGGAGAAGAACTCACAAGGGCTGTCCTCCTGAGTGAAGATGCAACAAGCAGACTTTGATCAGTAGCCACCAAACACATATACACCTACACCTATAGGCACAGGTCTGGTTTCTGGACAATACTCAAGTCCCAGTCTTAACTCCAAGGCATGGAGAAACGAGAGGCAATGAAAACTTGGCAAACTGTTTCAATTTCCAAGAAAACAATCTATTTGCCTGTAACATTCCTTGAAACTTTTTTTTTTTTACAGGAAGTTCAAATTCAGGTTGAAATATATACCTCGCATGGAAATTCTCAATAAAACATCATTTAAAGTAAACAAAAAAAAAAACAACAAAAAAAAAAGAGAGTAAATTTAAAGTCAAGGATTCTCATTAAGGACCCTGAATAGAAGGTGTGCCTGCCAGCTCCATTATATATTATATACAAACAGAAAGTTTACAGGTACCAGCATTACTGAGTAATTTGGTACCTCTAACGAAGTATACCATATTAGCTACTGGTTAAAACTTTTTGTTATTTTGCTTTTTTTCAGACTGAAGAGATGCATCATACCAGCTTTAATAAACAAGAAAGTCAGTAAAGTGTAATTTTTGAAAACATGAAGTTCTACTTTAGAGTCCCGACTCCAGTATAAATTACATATTGGGACCCATGGATGTATGAGATAAATCCCAAATGCAACTTGCCAAGATAGAAAAATGCAGCATGTTTTTGAACAACCACTACATTAGATCACAGAAATACATGTACAATTACATTACATTCTGAAGCTCAGTTTCTTGATGCTTCATGGCTAAGAATAGTTACATCAAGACGGTAAACAAACAACTAAAAGTCAGAATTATACCAGTGACACTGCACAACTTATACCTGTAAATTAACCTTTGATATAGGATAGTCTATCCTCCTGTAGAACAGATCTGTCCTCAGGCAAGACAGAAGTTGAACTGAAATACTTTCCAAGCTTAAAAATCTTTTTTTTTAAATCAGACTATGTTAAAACACGCAGCTCTACATTTTTATGTCATAAATTAATTTTACAAATAAAGCATCTCAAGACACAGGATTTGAAGTGTACAATGATTGCATACACAAAAACATTACTTGCCTTCATATGGTGTGTCCGGAGGTCCTGCTATTTCTCCTCTTAATTCTGTAAAATTCTCATCTACAAGATCTACTTTAATTTGATTTTTGCTCGTCTTAAAAATAAACAGAGAAACAAAGAATCATAAGTAAGCATTTTACATACAGATTTCCCCCAAAATATGGTATTTAAAATTTTTAGAATAGTATTTTTAAAAAAAATATGTAAAAAATTTAAATTTTAAAAATATAGTAACCTAAATGGCTATCTTCCAGTTCAAAATTTACTTCATTAAAAATAGACTATTTGTGGAGCAGTAGAAATTTCAGTATTATTTATACTATCACTACAGTAAGCAAAGCAACCTAATGATATAATATCTACAATCATAGTTTTAAATCCATTGCATTTTAAGACAACTGTGATCTTTCCAATCAGATATTAATTCTACACATCTTAAACTGTAACATTAAACTGACCAAGTTACACATGGGCTTTTTTTGTTTAGAGCAATTTTATTAATAATTGACATGATTGTCACTTTCACTGGAATACAGAAAGATTTCCCCAAATGGAGTGTTGATATTTTTAAACAATACAATGATCTAAACAGAATACTGCAGTCTTGCTCAAGATCATGTTTATCTTTAATATTTCAGGGTAAGGTACAATTTATTTATACACTTGCATTTCATTGTCACCTCCTCAACATTTTCACACCCCTTGCCTACAAAATAAAAACACTGTGTTTTGATACTGAAAAAAACCATATGCTTTCCAGAAACTGACTCTCAGAAGTGTTTAGCCAGAGCTACTCATTCCATTGAATCTGCTTTCCAGATCCAGTGAGCAGCATTTGTGGAATTCATACAAATCTTCCAGCCAGTAACATTTTTGGAGGGATGCAAAGCAGAATCACCTTTCATAAAGATATACCATGAAGTTTTTAGAGATAAGTAATTACTGATTTATCCATTCTGTTGCTTCTGTATAACACGCTGACTCCAATGCAGATTTCCTGAATCCACTGTTATTTTTTCCAAGAACTCAAGGCATCTTCCCAGATCCTTTAAAATTGTTCCAACTAGGTCTGCATCAAAAAAAAACCATGCAGTTGTGCTTCTCTCAGAGTAAACCCCATTGCTGACAGCTATGAGAAATCAGATAAAGCTGATGGCTGCCATCAACTGGTTCTTGGACCTACCAACTATGTGAACCATCAAGGATGCAGAATTCACTGAACAGCTGTGAGATTACTTCTATTTCCTTCCTGTAAATATTCTATAGATTAAGTCCTCCCAGCCAAAGAGGGGGCTCCTCTGACAAGAGATGCTCACAAAGAAGAATAAAAATTTAAGTTTCACCATGTAAAAGATCCTAGTTAAAAGTTTCACTACATTAATCCAATGGCAATTTGGGGGCTTTTTACATCTGTAGTTACACACACTTTTTTTTTTAAACTTAGGTAAAAAGCCTTCAACCCCCACAAAAGAGGCAGCACTTGCAACTGCACAGCTGAGTCTTAAGTACTGCATGTCAAAAAACAGATTCCAACCATGCTGCAAATGAAGAATGCACCATGCACCTCCAAAATCAAAAGCCAGTTAAATATTAAATGTAATAGTCGTTTTACCAATTTGTATCTATAAACTATTTTTTTTGTTTTAAGCTCAGCATCAGATCTTGTGTTGTCTTTCATGAGATTAGGTAAGACATCAGAGAAAGGAAGTTAAAGGAAATGATGAAATTATGTCTCTAAACATAGTCTAGATTCATTTTCTTTCCTGCTACTGTTCATGTAAGTTGCCTGACCAGAAAGTAACTGAACAGTTTTCTTTCAAAGCTTTGTTTCTATAATACTGAGCAGCAGAAGGACAGACTGTCCCAGCAAGACAGCCCTCTCCAAGAGCCAGGCACTATAAGAAACTCCCTCTCTGAATTCAAACTCAATCACAGGCACTCACATTCCTCTTGCAAGCTTTCCAACCACTCTAAGTTTTTTGCTCTCACTATTCCAACTGGCAGCTCATTCCATAGCCTCACAATTGTTAAACCTATTCAGGTTCTCTTGCTCTCTGCCTGTCAACATCACCTGGCAAGCTTCAAGTTGAGAGCAGTTCTTGTTCTTTGCAAGAAAGCCTGTAACTTTCCATCTAGAGGACTGAAGCAATCGCAAAAGGGATAAATTTCAAAGATACAATTTATGGTTAACACACGCTGCAGCTTGCTTAATTTTCTACTTAGCATTTTACTTTTTCTCAGTGCCCTGCACACTGCTGTAACAGCTTGGATAGTTAATATTCAACCTTCATATTCAATTTCAATTAGTACCACACTCACTGTTTTCCACAACAAATCCTTTGTGACTTCATAAATCTGGTGAAAAACAAACAAACAAAACCCCTATTGCTACGCTCAGTTTCTTGCAAGAGTCAATGATCCTGGTTCTACCATTTGAGACAACTGATTTTATTACTGCAGCTATAGCTATTGCCCATACCCTTATTTGCTTTATCTTTAGGAAAAATGGCAGGCTGTATTACACTGTTTCAGTATAAGGACTAACTTAATTTTACTTAAATTCTACCATGCCTTCTATATAGCAAATGCAGTTTTTCATTTACATAACTCAACAACCTTTTTCATGCTATTCTGATTGACTTTTTGAGGTGCAACTCAGCTTGACCTTGCCAATTCCTGCATTTTCCCTCATCCCTGGAGCAGTAACTAATATTTAACTGTACTGAAGCGAGTATTCATCCAATTAAACCTGGAGTATTTTCCTACAATATTTTCCCTTAATAAGGATCACATAGGATACAATTACTTAATTTTAGCAGCTCAAACAGATTAAATCCCTGGCCTTCACCATAATCATCTGAGCTTTCTCTAAAATGTTATTATCAACACAGTTTTCCAGAAGTGTGTCTGACACCAATGATCTCGGCACAGAATTTATGAATCAACTTGTGATCTCACACAACAAGTTGATTTGCCAGAAGCAGCTCTTCCACAAAGACCTCATTATGCTTCCATATGAAGTCTAAAATAGCATCACCTCCTGTTGATTCATCAACAATTTGGTGACTAGATCACTGGGCTAGCAATTCCTGAAATATGAGCCATGCCATCAATAGCAGCATTTCTTTCCATAATCTCAGTTTAAATTCTCTAACAATATAATTTCTACTGGCATTTCTTTCCAACACGAAAACACTCCACCAACACCACAATCCTTTTCTAGGAACCTACAGGCCCAACACTACACCAGCAGAACTTCCTATCATCACACCTGAAAATGATTTTGATCAAGAGTGGAAAAAAAATAGAGAAAGTAGTTTTAATGTAGCATATTACATAATGCATGATACCACTCCCTCATCTTTTTTCATTCGTATTCTAGTCAGCTCATGCAAAGCTGTTTTTTCCTTTTAAATGCACCCCTGCTTCACACTAGGGCTCTAGTCAAAAGATTCGTTGTCTTGTAGACCACCCCAGCTGCTGAGACTCTATGCACTGCTATAGTCATGCTTACCTGATTTTAGTCTGCCTTGTAGATATTAAACTAAAAGCATGAGACAGAAAAGTTGTGAAAGATTCATATAAGGCATTCTCATGCATGACAAAAGCTTTATGTCTAAAAAGACACCTAAAGGAATCAATCCTTCAAGAATCATCCTATGAGCATCTCCCAAAGACTGGACACTCAATCACATTTATTACAGTATTTATTACTGCTATTGAAGGATAATACATGCCTGCCTCCTCTTTAAAAAAGATAACCCAGAATTAGATTGTCTGGTGTTATGTCTGAGTATCTTCCTTGTACAGAACAATCTGGTCAAGCAGAAACTTTGAAGAGTAAGTTCTGCCACTGTGAAGATTTCATCACATACATCTCCATTTCTACTAAAACACTTTTAG